TACACCTCAATGGAGCGAGTCCAGACCGAACTTCCCGACCAAAAAATGTTGTGGGCGGGGTTCGGGCTGCCATCCAGGCTAGCGGGCACATTCACAGCACTGAAAAACACTGTCTGCCTGAACTGACTGTATTTGTGTTGGTTTCGTTTTTACAGAAACCCTGTGACATGCAGTGTTAGTGGGCACTGAATCATGGGCACGTACACTACATTTAATGCACAATCGACATGAGTCGATTTTACTTGTACAAGCCCTGTATTGTGGCGGGCTGTGTAGAAATGAGCACTGGTTTGTGGGCATTTTTTATTACACTCATAACACCATCGGCCGAGGCCGGGACACCAGAAAAAAAAACATTTTGTATTTATCTGGGTTGCCGTAAAAACGGCGTTTGTGTGCAGGCAAGTGGGCCGTGATACCGACTTGTTTACTGCAGAATACACCGGAACAGTCACATTTCTTGGGACTGAGCGAGCGTGAAGTTTTGGTGAAAGTCTGGACGTGGCGAGACTTGAACACCATCGTTTTACTAGAAGGGCTAGGAAGACTTTGCGTGCACATTGACTGCACTGGAAAACACCGTCGGCCTGAGCTGACTGTATGTGTGTTGGTTTCATTTTTCAGAAACCATGGTACATGTAGTGTGTAGTGTTTGTGGGCACTGGTCCGTGGGCACATTCACTACATTTAATGCACAATTGACATGCGTCAATTTCATTTGTGCGAGCCCTGTACCGTGACGGGCTGTGTTTGTGTGTAGAAATGAACACTGGGCTGTGGGCATTTTATTACACTCATAACACCATCGGCTGTGGCCGGAATACCAGAAAATACACTGCTTATGATTTTTCTGGGTCGCCATGGAAACGGCATTTGCGTGCAGGCAAGCGGGCCGTGGTACCGGCTTGTTTACTGCAAATTATACTGGAACAGTCGCATTTTCTTGGAACTGAACAAGCGAAAAGGAAGTCTGGCCGTGGCGAGACTAAATTTCTTAACTGCTGCGAGAGCCAGGATCGAACAGCTTTGTGTTTCGCCACAGGGGGGAAACAACGTAAGCTTAAATTAGCTCGAGCAGATAAGGGAGCGTCACAGTTTAGTGTGTCGGCATATGTTGCAGGTGTGCGTGTTATACAACAGGCTCATTGCTGCAATATTGACATTTTCAGCCGCTCAACTAAGAGGAGCTGGGAAATGTTTGAGAAATGGAAATTGTCCGGCCTCGGCGGGACTAAAACACACTCTTTCCCTATTTCGACGGTGACGCATGCCCACGGGGGGTGGGGGCGGGGTAGCTTTCTTATAAAGTAAAGAAAGCTAGCCGCTCAGCTGGCCTTCTCAACAGATGCAGCTATCTCTTCGTCACAAATGGCGAAAACGGCGGCGCGCGGTGGCCGTTGTCCGTCAGTGAGCGACTCGAGTGAAGCTGGTGAAACTTGCGGGCGAACCGGCGAGCTTTCACGGGCTGGAGAAGGCTCGGGGACCTGCTGAGTACGGCGCTTTACGCCGCAGCACTACAGCGGGCGGGAGTGCAGACTCGGAGAAATATGCCAGGCGAGTCCTCAGAGTCACCATAGGCAATAGCTCGCAGTGAGGGCAGCCGCCGTCAGCGAGCGCGAGTGCTACATGATCCTATCTCAGGCAGGAAACGCAGATGAGGCGGTCCAGCGGCTTCAGAAGATGGCTCGTCCTGCAGAAGGCTTTTTTCAACGGCGCGGCTTCTTCACTCAGGATCCAGCGATGCAGAGCTTCGCTGAAGAGATGAAAAACCAGTAAGATCAGCCCATCGAGCTATCTTTATAGGGCTAGACCACGGCCCTTTGGGCGCGAGCGTGACACGATGGGCGCGAAGCGCACCCATTGGACCGTCACCAAAGGGCCGCTCTCGACAGTTGCCGCAGGACAGCAAATAGGCACGCTGAGTCGCCTCTGCCTATGTCTGTATGCAGAGTGCGAATTACCCCACCATAATTGGGGGGTACTGCTCCTTCACTTCTTCTATGACCATCATGGTCCACTACCATATCAATCCCCACCGTGATCGCCAAGTGCAATATGTGTTGTGCAACACACATACAATGTCTAAACATGCGACAAACTGATAATCAGTAATAAGAGCGTGATCATACAACGCTAGTCAACGGGTGACAGAAAAAAACGGATAATGCGTAATTGCGGTAAATATTATTTATTTTTTTCAAATAATACAAACATCGAAAACAAAGACAGACAAGCAAACAGGACAACAAACAAACCCAGAGCGCTGCAAGTTTAATAAAATGTACGATAAACAAATGTGTCTGGCGTTAAATATTTTTAACGCTTTAAACTTTTTTTTTTTTTGGTGCCGCGGTGGGCAATTGATGCAACCGGTGTTGCGACTGGACACCGTGTAACACCGGTAACACCGACTACCGTAGCAAGCCTAATATGCAGCAAAGCAGGCTTGTTTTAAAATACTGACCACAGAGGTCTGGGTTTTGCCTCTTTTCCCTTCCTCCCTGGCACCCATGATTTAGAAAGGCGATGCCCTGCCTTTACCCAGGACATCACATATGGAGCAGGGTTAAAGATCTCCAAAGGAGGGCCATTAAGGTCCACAAAAAGCAGAGAAGACAGACTCTTTGCACGGAGCTTGTTGCGCGTTTTTCTATCTGTATCATTTACTGCCGAAAATCCTCTCTCACATTCAGCAGAGGTGGCCAAGTATGTGTTACTTGCAATGATACGTTTTTTCAGGGTCCCTCCCTCCAGTGTTCCTTGTAATTTGTAATTTCTGAACTCCTCCACTGCTTCTCTCCCTTGCTCACCAAGGAGCTTTGCCAATGTACGGACCTCAGTCTCTCCAAACAGTACTAGGTCCTCACGTTTTCTGGCCAGCTGGACTTCTCAAGTGGCTGGAGGATGCAAATGAGGTCATCAGCTGGCATTCGGGCCGTCAGATTGTCCACTACCGCTTGATAAAATTGTTGCCTATTGATCTTTCCTGCTCTGTCACCCACAATGTTCACCCCCTTAAAAACACCAGCTGACAAGCCTTGTTGTGCCTTTGCGGCAGACTTTCCACCTTGCGATTTCATGGCATTTAGAATTTCTGTTGTCTGTTTGATGTGGTGGTAACTCTGGACAATGGTTGTCTCCCGTTTTTGTAGTTTAAGTGACAGGCTCTGCAATTCACGCAAGACATCTTTCATACAGGCTAAATCATGCACAAAGCTGGCATTGCTAAGGTATTTCAATAGTCCCAGGAACTTCTTCCTCACTTTATCAGAGTTGCCAGTATTTTCACTTTCAATTTGAAAATGTCTAGCCAGAGCAGGGTAATTTTTCCAAACAGCTCTCACAGTGTTAAAGCTGCTGGCAACCCATCTGATTGTAAAGATCTCCCCTATCCTCAGAATTTGAACATTGAGCTCATCTGCTACTTCTTTTAGCAATCGGGCCAGTTTGTGGGATTGATTAAATAAACTGTACAATTTAGAGATGAATATTTCAAAATGATTGCAGGCAGTCAGGGATTTTATGGAGTCATGGACAGCCAATTCCAACCTGTGAGCCATACAGTGGATGGATTTTAGCTTTGGAAATTCAGATTTAAATCTAGTAATGACACCAGACTTGCACCCTGTCAAAACTGAGGCCCCATCAGTTGCAATGCTTATGAGGGTTTTTTGTAAGAAGTCATCATCTAATCCAGCTGTCTTTAGGCTTTGTCTCAATGCATCATAAATGGAACTTGCATCTGTACCCTCCTTTAATTCAACAAGATCTAAGAAGATGTTCTCAACATCCCCATCACCTGTAACATCACACCTGATAAATACTATCATATAGGCCAGCCCAAATACTGTGCTCTCATCGACTGTCAATGAAATGCGTGAGTTTTTTTCTTTAATGTTCTGTGGCAATGTGGTTCACAATTTCAGCACAAGAATGATCTGACCTATGCACATTCCCTATGACAGCACCGTTAAGTTCTTGCAGAATCATGAGAGGTGGCATCTTTTTGAAAGCTAACCTTTCTTTCGCTACTGCATATGCAGTTCTGAAAGAGCTGGTTGTTTCTTGCACTAAACCTGCATTGATTTCCAAAATGGCTTTTGGCAGGACCTCCTTTTGTTTCTGTTGTGCTATCTCAGTAGACCTCTGGTGCGAAGCACTATCTCTGTGTTTGTATATTTTTTTTGCTAATGTCCTTTTGCAGGTACTCCCCACTGCCCCATTAACCCATTCACTAGCAAAATTCATCCCCGGACATTTACCAGACAAAAGCAAAGTCTTTGCGTCTCTGCATGGCTTGCAACCAAGGCATCCATCTTTTATGTATAACCAGGGGTTATGTTCTATCCAGCCCTGCCATTGCTCTCTGGTCCAGCAGTGTGGTGTCTCTGTCCTCTCTGTCCCTCCATCTCCAGTGGCCTTCAGACAGAAATATTTGCTTGTAAGACTAATTTCATTCTTGATGACACAGTTGTTACATGTCATGTCCTGTTTTCCCCGTTCATTGTGTATTTGGTTTAGTCCTGTGTTCCAGTTTTCCCGCTCCTCGTTTCTGTTCAGTTCCTTCACCTGTGTCTAGTTAATTTGCCCCAGCTGTGCCTTGAAAGTGGGTCATATATAGCCTGGGTTTCCCCATACTGCCTTACCGCAGCGCGATTCAATTCACGCTGAAAGGCAGTCTGGATACCATGGCCAGATTTTTCGCCTCATTTAGGGAACCAATCACAGAACGGGGAGGGAGCAGCTAGACGATGACGACATCTATGCGACACACGGAAACAGTTTGTTTATATCGATTTAACATGGCTGAAGACGCGAAGCTACTCTTTGATGCAGCCTTAGAACAATGTCTAAGTAGTTTAGAATGCAAGTTCATTTTGAAAAAAGAACAGCTTTCGGCGTTAAACCATTTCTTAAACAAGAATGATGTTTTTGCCCTGCTACCAACAGGCTTTGGAAAAAGTCTGATATATCAACTAGCCCCGTTAGTGGCTAAGGCAATGGGGCTTCGCGAGACCCCAGTCGTCCTGGATGACCAGGTACAGGAGGCTGTTAAGCTTGGAATTTCTGCCACTCAGCTGAGTCCTGATAAAGAAAATGCGATTAAAAATGGTCGATACCAACTTCTGTTCGGCAGTCCCGAGGCCTGGATGAGCGCAAAGTGGCAAGACATGTTAGCCACGGAGTTCTATAGAACCAACCTGATAGGCATCGTTGTAGATGAAGTCCATTTAACATATAAATGGTAAGTGGTATTTATTAATATCTTATTGTCATTATGTCTGTAGACTGCTATCTACTGTGTTTGTCACAGTGCCACTAAGTTGTGTTGCTTTTCAATATCAATATACAGCTACCGCTTTAGTAGCATAACTTTCATCTGTGCACACGTACACGATTAAAGTTGTTGACACTTTAGTCATTAAATTTAATTTTTAAACTTGTGAAGTACAACCGCAAACAATTTCCAATGCAAATAATAACTTCAACATCTATGCTAAACTGTACTTAATACTTATGATTTTATTTTGTCTAACAGGGGGAAGGCTGCGAAAGGACAGAAGGCCTTTAGGGAAAGCTTTGCAAGGTTGGGGGAACTTCGAGCAATCGTACCTCCAGGTAGGTTAACAATAACACTTTAGAGATTACTGTTAGCTTTACCTGGATCAACACTACATATGGCATTTCTGTTACTCGGGCACTGAAATTTGTTGACACATCCAACCCATTACCCTTTCGATGATAAGCCATCTTTCAAATTATGGTTTTGCTACTGTAATATCACACCACTCTCACAACATTTATTTACCAGTGTTAAGTAACTTATTGTCTGAACATGAGTATTAGCCTCTATGTAAACAATGACATTATAACATTACACAAATTACACATTGCAAAATTATCATGTAATGCCTTGTTTTTTCTTTGACATTGTTACTTTCAAAACACTGTTACAATTTAATGTTTAAGTGTAAAAAAAACTATACAGTGGGATGAATAAAATGGGAATGACTTCAAGGTTTCTCATTTGTTCTTTTAAATTTTATTTTTTAGGTACTCCAGTATTGGCATTGACCGCTTCTGCAGATTTGCACTCAAGAGACATTGTCAGGAGACAGCTACACTTCCAAAATGCAATCAACATCACTGTTAGCCCCAATCGACCCAACATTAGACTTGGGGTAAGAAGACTTACAACAGATTCTCTGGACTGTTTTGACTGGCTGGTAAAAGACTTAAAAGAAAAAGGACTGGAGATGTTACCGATCATCATATACTGCCGGACAATAAACACTGTTACACGAGTTTTCTGCCACCTCAAGGCTGAACTTGGGGATAGCGCCTGGGTCGGTGAAGAGAAAATAGGTAAAAACCTATTGATTGGGATGTTCCACAGCCAGACTCTACCTGTAAACAAGAGCAGGGTACTTTCTTCATTTAATGGAGAAGGCAGCTGCAGAGTGACTGTGGCAACTACAGCACTTGGAGTTGGCCTAAATTTCCCAAAGGTCTCCCATGTGGTCATGTATGGGTTACCAGAGGACCCAGAGGCCACTCTCCACCAGGTTGGAAGAGCAGGCAGAGATGGCTCTCCAACTCATGCTGTTCTCAATGCAAACAATCAGCTTGCCAAGACTGACAAGGCAGTAAAGGATGTTCTTCAAAAAAGCTTAAATGGCTGTTTTAGGAAGGCCCTATACTCTCATTTTGAGAAAGACACATCTAGTGTTGAGCCTGGACATTCTTGCTGCACCTATTGCCATTCAATATGCAAGTGTAGCTCTGACAGTTGCTCTGTAGAAACACCAAATTACGAGATGCCGAAACAGATTCCATCACCTGACAAATGCAGACAAGTCACATTAGATGAGCAGGGATTGGTCAGAGAGCTTTTAGAGAAATATAGAGAAAGTCTAATTTCGCCAGATGAACACCTGTACACACATGCATCATTCTGCACCGGTTTCAGCAATGTACTAATTGAATCAGTAGTTGAAAATGTATGTGAAATATTTGACATCACCTATGTCATGCAGAATCTACCTGTATTCGACATAAACCATGGCCTGGAAATCCTAAAAATTGTGCACAAAGTTTTTGAAGACTTTGATTTATGCAAGTACCCAGAGACTACAGAAGAACCATATTTGAAGCCTGATATTGACTTCAAGGGGTACTTTGATTTAGAGGATGAGGATGATGAAAAATCATTAAGCAGCATTGAGTCAGGCTTATCTGTGCTTCCAATATCAGACTAATTACTGAGCCACTGTAAATAACTACACAGTTGTATATATGTTTGATTCTGAATAAATATTTCTATTTACACTTCAGTAATGTGTCCAATGTGTTTAAATTCATGAATAAGCAAATTTACAACAAGGTTTGTAAACATACAGCTTTAATAATATCAATGAGCATGAGGAAATATAAAAATGTTTAAAAACAAAAAAATGTGTTTACATAAACACACAGCACAATTAACATGTTCTCAAGGTTTACAAAGGGACACTGCGCCATTCATTTAGTTTGCTCATCATCCATTTCCACAGTGCTTTATGATCCAGCTTTGCCAATAGGTTTTTTCGGAAGCCAGGGAAGGCAGCATACACTCGACCTGGTTGTTGTTTAAAAAGCTCTGCCTCTTGCAGAGTGTCCACCAAGGTGAGGATGTCTTTGGTCATGTCCACATGGTGAGCACCAGTTTGCCCAGATATGCCCAGCTCAATATCAGTGCCTGCCATCATTTCTTTCATGACTCCTATAGACCTGCTTATTCTTGCTGCTGAAGTCTCATTCAGGTTAGGCCCCAGGCCGCTCAGGAAAGATTTCAGGAATCCATTTAAGTGCTCCAGATGTAAATCTAGTGGAATGTTTCTTCCCTTGCCTCCCCTTGTGCTCCAGAATTTGTTCCACTTTAGACTGTGAGCAACTTGTGGAGACAACGTGGCATTAATTTGTACAGTAAGCAGGAAAGTACTGTATGCGTAGCTAGTGTGTCCGTAAGCTTTGTAGAACAACATGGCTACTGTGTAGAGACGCATCAGTCTTTCACCATCTCCTTCCTTTACTGCATCTAAAATGTCCAAAAGAATAAAGCTGAAGCCCAGTCTGGCAACGGTGTGTTCATACTTGTGGTCACAGTGAGTGGGGATGATTGGTATCGAGTCTGTTGGCACAACCAGGTTGTGTGTCTTTATTTCGTGGCTTTGTCTTCTTTTGCAATAAGTGAACATTCTTGAACAACCCTCCATACGACAATGGAACTTATTCTTTTGAATTGGTGTGGCAGATGTTTTACTTGCAGCCTCTGCAGCATCAGTGATGTCAGGAAGAAGAACATATTTGTCCACGATTGAGGCAGTTAAGTTGTTGAACCATGTCCTCCTTGCTTCTGGAGAGGCCTCTTTGATGTGTTCTGGTATAAGGGACTCAGGACAATCTGTAAAAGGAAAAACAAAACAGGGACCAATTAATAGAGGTAGTATTCCAACCCCACACATGCAGATATTTGCCAGCTTCAATATTGAATCAGCCATCTTGAAGGTATCAAGACCAATGTGCGAGTTAAAAGTTTGTTATACTGTACACACCAGTGTACAGTGCATGTTATTTAAGAAGCTGAAACGACTGAAAATACAAATAAACGTATGATACCTGGGTTGTGGTTTTCCTGGTGGAGATGTCTCGTGGACTCGGTGGGTTTGGGCAGGTCTTTTTCAAAGCCCTCGGGGTGTTCGATGGTGTAGGCTCGCGTTGCCTTTTGGCTATGTTGCTGTCCGTGTTTCGGAACTCTTCTTCCCATTGTCTGAATGTGGGCAAGTCTCTTTCCAGCCTGGAAATTCTGTTTGAGCAACGCTGGCAGGATCTTCGCGATTCCCCTGACTCCGGTGCGACTGTCACCCCTAATATTGTTTACCTCTCGGATAAACTTGGTGGTTTTTTGGATGAAAACATGTCTGTGGAGTGTCCATATATACCTTCTACCCTCATATTTATCTTGCACAAACGGCAATAATCGCTTAACGTCATTGTTTACAAAAAAGATCTTTCCCATCGTCTTCTTTCTTGTCTAATTTCTGTCGCTCTACATACGTCATCTGGTATAATCGAATCGATTGGCTATGAGCTACGTACAGGCATATTTGATAGACATTCTTAGCACCCAATAAACTGCGACGGGCATTCTGAAACCACGCCTCAAATACGAGAAATTGCGCATGTGGTTCTCAGACCCAATTCTCAACGAGATTGGGTCTGGCGTTAGCCAGGCTAGGTCATATATGTAGTAGAATAGTAGCATAAATTTCAAATTTGGGTCCTTCTTGGCCGTTAAAAGGCAGAAAATGACTTTTTAGTGCTTGTGGATTGTAGACAACAATCCCCATAGTGCATTGCAATGCTCAGCTCCGCAGGCCACTCCCACTACTCCGCCCATCAATCTAGACTAAAGTTGAGCTCCACTACGGCTACGCTACCGCCTGGAAATCATTTCACTGGAAGTTGAATTCCTCCTCGTTTTTGTTTTGAAATTGTGTGCACTTGCATAGGCCTAGTACCGGCATGTTCAGCCAGCACAAGGAACAGCCGCCTCCTGTTCCTCCATAGCCCTCAGCTGCTCGTCGCTATATTGGTAGCTCATAAAGGTATCCACGAACATCCGTTTCTACCATAACTTCTTCAAAATCCCAATCCTCCATAATGCATCCGTCTGCGTATTCAGTACCTTCGTCCATATTTTCAACAAGTTTCTGCCGGTGAAATCAAACGCACTAGCACTGTTCTGTGATAGCTCTGTTAGCGCATTAGGTCCAACGTACCCCCTATGGGCGGGTTTGAAAGGGTGGGAACTAGTGCGTAGTCTTTACAGAAATCCCCCCCTCTTACACTTTTTTTACACGATTTTTGCGTCATTGTAGGAGGAAGTGAAAAAGGTAATTTCTCTCATCTCAGGGGAAAATGAGAGAGTGTTGCACGACCATTCAATAGTATGACTGGGTTTCTAACAATGGAAAGCTTAATGCAAATGGGTGGAGTGTCCCTTTAAAGGGATTATCTGGAGTGAATCAACCCATAGCCCTGTTGTTTGATGTTGCAGAGTGCTGTTGGGAGGTATGAGAACAACAGAATTTGGTACAACATGGGCCAAATAGTGAAATAACAGCCAACTCTAACTCATGAGGGCAAGGAAGCTTTGTTTTAGTTTTGTTCTTCTATGCCCCCATTAGTTAGCATTAGCTAGAAGTTTGCAAATTCGGTTTACATGCACCAAATTCTCTCTTTCCTATACCTGCCCGGACAACAGGGCTATGAGTTGATTCAGTCCAGACAATCCCTTTAAGTACAGCCTAATTTCTAACTCACCTCTTGGCCACATGCTGCCTGCTCAGCGTCCTGCACACTCTCATCTTCCTGCCCTCTCCTTTCTGCCTGCTGAATGTCCTGCACACTGTCGTCCTCCTGCCGCCCTCCTACTGCCTGCTGAATGCCTTGTGCAATGTCGTCCTCCAGCCATCTATCAACTGCCTGCTGTATGTCCTGCACTCTGCCCTCATCCTGTCGTCTCCCTGCGGCCTGCTCACGGCTTTCATCCTGTGCCTCTCCTATCTGCTGGGCACCCCTTTCCTTAACACATATTCAGTGTATAAAACCTAACCGCACCAACACTTTTAATGTAATTGTTTGTAGATCTTAGTGCTAATATTTCCTGCTTACTCTTTTAGCACCAAAAAAGTGCCTGATGTCTGTGTGCCCTTTCCTTTTCCTCATAGTGTCTCTGTGAATAAAATCAAAGTTTCATTAGATTAGGGTTCTCAGATGAAACTACATTTATCAAACTAAAAATATGAAATAATAGAATGTAAAAACAATACTAGCCAATTAAAAACAAATTCAAATACTAGCATGTACTATTCAGCCTAGGCTACTTGGCTCTTTTTATGTTTTCACTGATGTTATGTAGTAGGCTTAGCTACATCAGACCCTCTTGTGCATAATATAAAAACAACACGGATCTGTGCCAAACTAATTTCAAAAGGGCACAATCATTTATTCAAGATAAAATGAGAATGGACACCTAGGCTATGGAGTTCATCTCCTTGGAAATGACAATCGAGTTTACCTCACCACAACGTAAAGCTTGATTTAAATAGAAAATTCTCTTGCTACCTAACCTTGGTAACTAACCAAGATCCACTTTACTAGCCTCAGTGGGTAAGTAGCAGAGGGATGGGACGGTATGAAAATGTCATATCACGATTATAGTGACCAAAATTATCGTGATTAACAATATTATCACGGTTTTGTTAAAACGAGATGAAAGTGTTCAAAAAGAACGTCAGCTAGCAACTTACATTTATCCATGCACGTCAGCAGCAAACCGTTCTCTATCTCCGTTGCTTCTAGCCGCCACGGTGGTTAAAAATGGTCCACAATAGGGGTGTCTGAAATCGCTTTCAATTAAAATGTTCCTACAATGAAAATAGGAGTTGACTTGTATTGTAACTGTAATTATATTTTTTCACAATATCATAAAAATTATCTGACCCCCCCAGAACTGATATTTCTGTCCCTTTGGGGGGTACTGGGTCTTCATTGGGGGGTATAGTACCCCCCAGTACCCCCTGTAATTCGCACTATGTCTGTATGCTGCTGCAACGCGTTTTGCAATAATTCAAAATTAAGGATAATTTTTTGGCTTCAATATCTCTAGGAAAAGAGGTTTTCCCCTAGCGTAAGATATTACGCAGTACGAGAGAACCTCTCGTAAGAGAACTACATGCGATTGATGTTTTTAAAAATACAAACCATTATTTTATTATATTTCAGCATAAACACGTCGCTGGACAGGTAACGAACATTATCTAAATAACATTAACAAACTAACACGTCTAGTGCACATCAGCTGTACAATCGTCATTGTGTTGCAATGTGTGATTGAATGAGTCAATAATGTCCACTATGGTTTTTCTATATTTCTATATTTGTATGCATAAAATGTATATTTTGCAGTTAATATAAAAATAAATTGTCTCTATATTCAATATCTTTAAATCAATAGTTTTATATTTATTTGTCATATTTATTTAGATTATGTTGTTCGCAGTACTTCACAGTATTGTAGTTCTGTACCTCATTAAGTGGACTTTTGTCTTTTTTTGCATCAAATCATACTTTGTAATGTTGTGACTGACCTCATAGCATGTTGGTTTAGTTTATGGCTTATAACTATTTAAGACTTTTTAAATCATATTTCCGGAACCAAGGCTGCTGTAAAATGGGAACACTGAAATAAATAAATAAACACAGTCTAACATTTAATAATAAACACTGACTTTTGATTTCATGGGGTCTTTAAGCTTAAATGTTTTTTTTGGGGGGGAATTCGCTTTTAAATATATATATATATATATCACTGATTCTTGAGAGTCGGGACAAAACATGTCCGACATAGAAAAGTCTAATTTATAGCAAAAATTAAGAAATTCCTCATGTATGACATACTTACAAAGTTACATCTAAAGGAATTGTATATACCTATCTGATTTTTAGAATAAACTTTTTTATCCTTTTGGGGAAAAGTTGTTTAAATGAATGGTCTGTGGTTAGATGGTCCATGTTATTGCACTTGTCCTCAGCAAGAGGTTACAATATTAACCATCCCAAAAAACTTTAAAAAAGCTCTACAATTGTGAAAACATATATATCAAATAAAAAATAAGGGGTATAAATATAAAAAACAATGCATGAAGTGAACATCAAACAATATTTTCCATAAATATCTGCCTGTTAAAGTTGTGTCCTCAGTTTCTGTCAACCCCGTCAGATTTTTTCATAAAGCTCTTTAAATCAGGAAATAGCATGGTCAGCTATATCCTTGAGGATATCCCCTTTTCATTTCCCTGTCTGTGGTGAATGCAGCACTACCACACATGCTCTGGAACGTTTTACATTTTTTAATATTTTAGACAAACAATGTCAATATTCCTATGGTCACAGCTGGACCATGTCAATACCATCTTTCTGTTAAGATACTTTTTTAAAACCATAGTGGATTGAATTTAAGCATTTTAGTGAGGTTATTGGGACAGCTAGCAACTGAGGAAAAACTACCTAGATGCAGTGTACAATACATGTTTTGGCGGGAAAATACATGCCCTTACGTCAACTCCGTCAGAAGTTGACAAATCCACCAATAACCTCTTAATGTGCGAATATAATATTATTTGTGAATATAGTGAAGGGTTAAACTGTTATTTCAGGGTTTTATTTACACATAAATGCACATACATAGCATGCATTACATTATTTAACCATACGCATGTCCGACGCCTGCTGCTCAAGGCATAAGCGCAGGTTAGACAAAAATGAAATCTTAAGTAAGCTAACTGAACCTGATTCTAAGCTACAGATTATGTGTTGCAGTATTGTTGTCAAGGAATGTCAATTTAAGATCACACCCAGTATAAAGTAGGCAGTGCAAGGCAATCACACATCCAACACACCCAAACACACACATACGCACACACACACACACACACACACACACACACACACACACACACACACACGCCACTTTAAAGTAAATGGCTACTTACAAAGGAGGAAAGGAAGAGGAGAAGAGGTGGATGAGAAAAAGGAGAGCAGGAAGTGGTATAGGGGAGGTAGATGAAAACAGAGGGGGAGGAGGGCCCCTGGTTTCCCTTATTGTGTTTTTTTTTTGATAGTTGGAAACGGGGTAATTTATAATAGTTGGAAACGGTGTATGTGCAATATGTTTATTATAGTTTGCTTTACAGTAAGTTCAATACTCTAATAACAAAGAGTAGTTTTAGTAGTAGTTTAAAGAGCACATCTGAGCACATCACAATGCACACATATTTTTTGTCAACACCGTCAGATCTTCATCAACACCGTCAGGTTTTCATCAACACCGTCATATCTTCATCAACAGCGTTGGATGTATGTTTTCATTTTTGTTAATTTTTTGTAAATTTTTTGTTAAAAACTAATCTTCCTTTAGTTTATGTTGTTTTTGTAATAAAGGACCATCTGATCTACATCTTCTTATGTTTTATTTATTTAAGGAATTTGTTTTTACAATATTGAAATTAAAATCAAAGTTTGAAAAAGCAAATATTTAGAATTCTGAGTTTTCAGAATAGTGTGAAATCACAACTTAAGTTTATATATTGTATTTTTTTTTACATATCAGAGTAACTAAACACTATTATAATATACTTCAGAACTTTAGATTCTTGTTGGATTGGAAGAATTAAAATTGTATACTTTTTAGTGTGTCTGACGGAGTTGACACAAATTCAGTTCTGAAGGGAAACGTGTGATCTTTCTCTGCAGAAACATACAACTCTAATTGATATAGTGTGTATTTAAAAAAAAAAGTTTTTTAAAACGCGTTTTGTCCCGACTCTCAAGAATCAGTGATATATATTTGATAGTTGTCTCGTTTTTGTTTAAACGAGGATTGTCCCACAGATTTCGTGATTTTAAGAACTTTAAATTGACTTTTATGTTGCCTCTTTAACGCGAGGTGACGTCATTACGTCGTTTCCGGGACTACGCCGCCTCGCCTCGCCTGCTGTTATTCGACAGAGGGAAAGGTTGTTGGTTTGAGCCAGTCAGGATTTAAGGTCTGTAGTACAACTTTCAGCAAGAATCAAACTATATTTTAGCACATGTATTGCAAAAACATGGTATTAATTATGTCTTATTCCCAAAGCAAAATTAATGTAAACAACGTAATATGGCAATGCTTGCTTTGTTTGCTAATAATAGCTGGTCTCTCGTAAGTGGCGCCAAAATGTTTTTTTATTGTGTTATTTATTGTGTTTTTGTGCAAAACGCATCCACGCATGAGGGACGTTGTGATTTAAATTTCTTTCTTTTTCTTTCTACTGTTAATTCTCATCCAACTCCTCCGTGAACTCCAGGTAAAACAACTAAGATTTACGTGGCAAAGATAAACATGGAGTTTATTAAAGAGGAGAAGCTGGACATCGGTGTTTCAGAACCATGCATAGTGAAAGAAGAGGAGACTGAGGAACTATTAGGTTGGTGTCCATTGATTTGCCAGTAACTGTTTGTCAGGAACCGTACATCACATTTGTGCATTTGAGAGAGATTTGTATCTAAAGCGATTTTTATTGCATTCAAGCAACAGGACAAACAAAGCTTTAATCTTTTCACCGCATTTGGCGACTTGATAAGTGGTTCTCAAACTGTGCAAAACGTACCACCAGACGGGTAACGTTATGTTTTTCTGAAAGTTGGGGGGAAAAGGTAACGTTACCACCTTACGTAACGCCGAGTGCATTCAGGTGCTGCGCATTATAAAACATTTTGTTTATAATATCTAATTACAATTTTCGTAGTTGATAACTGTATGCATAGGCTTATTTTTACAGATTATGGTATTTGAAGTCAATGTGGTGCAATGTATAAAGGGAGTAATATTAAAATCCATGCACACAATAAATCCCCCCGCAAAAAAAAAGCAAAGATAACGTTTGTAATAACTTAACCCATTTATTCATAATATATATATATATATATATATATATATATATATATATATATATATATATATATAAAAATCACTGTCAGGACCGATCATAAAACAAAGGGAACTATTTTATACTTAACCTTTAAATTTACATCTTAAAAGTTGAGTGACTGATTTGAGAAGTTGAACAACTCATTACAGGTCGAGTGGCAGGTCTATTATTTTGCACTTACACTCAATCTTAATGCACTGATTTGACATACAGTATCAGATTGTTTTTTATGTTTGAAATGGTTATCACTAGGGCTGGGCGTTATGACGATATTGTTATTTGTTACTATGGTCTAAACTGTCTATCGTTAGTAAGGGTGCTCCGATCAGGATTTTTGGAGCCGATTGTAGATCACAGGAAGCAGAATCTGCCGAAATGATCATTGATACGGATCTACCTGAAGCCTTTTTTTATTGTGTATAATCATTTATAAAAAAATAAGAACAAATAAACAATTTACAAGCAGTAGCACAAATAAGTAAAATAAAATAAAGATATAAATGAAATAAACAGTGCTTTAAGTTTTGTTTCCCAGGTAGGTCTAACAGTAGTATTGAGATAAGAATATTAAAGAAATTTAAAGTAAAATAACACTGGATGGTCTTCTCTGAATAAATTAAATACAGATTAATCCTTACAATTAAGGTTGCAAAAGTTAGTCATTCAAGAGCATTGAGTGTCATTAAAGCTGCAGTCCGTAGCTTTTTTAAGTTAAAAATAATCCAAAATAATTAGATTAAAAAAAAACTTATTCTGCCAGTGGTCAAAACTATCTGCTTGCCATAGCTAGATTCAAAACGGTAAGCTTGTAATAATGATTTTAATTCCAGTGGTACTGGTGGGTTTCCGCGGGAAATTCGAGCATGTCTTTGCGTCATTACGTCACATCCGTACACATAAAGGAGGAGTTTCGGCTAGCCGGCTATACTGCGCGTGACGAGATGTTTAGATGTATAGGCTTTTCTCGCAGCACTTTACATAATTAAACTTATGGCATCCAGAAAGATCCAAACAACAATCATCAGTGTCAACTGGAGATTCAGCAGTTAGAAAACCCAAAAGACTTCGTACTTCGGATTTAATTGTAATTTAAACTTAAAGGACGATGAAATAAAATGATGCAGACAAAATTAAAATGCGGGACACTGCTCATGACTTGCGGGACAAAGCTTCAAATTTCGGGACTGTCCCGTAAAATGCGGGACAGGTGGTCACCCTACTCCAGACAATCTCTCGGGATACCTAGTGTCCGATTTACAAACGCCGTGGGCACATCGCTTCACCATCTTGCTTGGAGTCAATGTTTGACGGACCTGCTCACACAGTAACGGTTGCTATGATGTGTGATTGGACAATGGCCGTTTTGTGGGAGGAGCCTGCGAACGGTCAATTGTTTCAAAATGCCCTTCATGTGGAGTATTCATGGAAAAACAGCCGGTAATGTCTCCAATGAAAGTTGTATCAGTGTGATGGATTAAAACTAGGGATGTAACGATTCACTCATCTCACGATGCGATACGATTCACGATACTGGTTTCACGATACGATTTTCTCACAATTTTTTTAACAAATGAGATTTAAGACAAAAGTGTCCCTTTTATTATTTCTCAGACAAAATGCTGCACATTTCTTTTTAATTTAAAATATATTTGTCAAATAATAAAACTACATTAAAAAAATCCCCTTCGAGGTTTCAACTCAGTCTTTCTGTTTGTTTGGTCAAGAGGCTGGACACTGGTACCTTCGCACACTATGTAAAAAACTGTGTAAAATTAGTACCAGATTGACAGGGGTTTTACATTGTAATAAAGGCAAGATTCTAATTTTGTTATAATTTGTATCATTACACTAGTAAGAGTAAAAAAAAAACACATTTAGAGAAAGAGATAGTAAAATAAATACAACACCTGGTTGCCTGATGCACCTTGTGATCTCCGTGGCTCTCGCAATTGTCGTATTAATGACTTTTACATGAAAACGGAGGTGACTGGTGCTTCTCACGGTGGTGATTATTATTAGTCTACGGAAATTCAAAATGCCGCCACACCTCCGATTTGAATGAGTCAACGTCAACATCTACGCTTGCCGTCGCCATGTCTACTGTTTGACGGCGCGTGCACACCGGTCTATGGCACACACTGGGGCGGCGCGAGCGGAGCAAACCGAGCGTTTTCAGTTCATTCCTATGGAAGTTGAGCTCGGCTCACACAAGATTCCATGAATGAAGTGAAAACACTCGCTAGCTTCACGCGTCAGTGTGTGCTCGCTGCTATTGTGCCTGTAAAGCGAGGTTCACAACTTGACAGTAGGCTATACAGTAAACGCGCCTTGCTGTTTAAAACGTGTATCGCGATTCGTTTAACATTTCAACCGACTTGAATCGTCACGCATTTTTATCGATTTTCAACTGGTTGCGAGTGAATCGTTACATCCCTAATCAAAACGCTGTGAGTGCACACGTAAGCCTATAGTTATGATAAAGGTGTAACTCTAGCTGTAAAATGGTCCCAAACATAACTCCGGTGCGCTCGCTTCATTTTCCCTCGTGTCTGCTTTACATGTTTTGCGGTTGAGAAGCAGTCGCACGCATGAACCTGCTTTATCGATGATCGATACATTTTATCGATTAAATGTATTATCGACAATTTGATCATCGATTCATCGTTAACATCCTTTATCACTGCCATTAAAATCACTGAAGCTGTCGATTACAACGCGAGGTACACAAAGCTGCACTCTTGCGAAAACTCCTATTATAATCAATGAAATTGTGCAATTAGGGTGAGCGATATGACCACAATATAGTTATTTTAGCTTTAAACAAGGTTAGTATGATATCAAAATTTGAAACCATTGAAATTTCATAATTCTTATCATCATTTTCAATATAATTAAAAAAACTAATAATAGCCTAAAAAACTTCTCAAGCTTACTGAAGACAAGTAAACTGTGATAAAGAAAGAGCAATTAAACAAACTACAATATAACACAGACACAAATGAAATAGACCTGCCTGAAAAACTGTATAACATGAATAAAGTAATCAAATGTATGAAAAACAATGCATAGTCTTTACTGTGTTCAAATTAAATATACATTTATTCCTATTAAAGTTACTAAAGTGATTCAGTCAAGAGCAGTGAGAGATTTTTGTTGTTTGATTAATATTGATAAAGACAGCAGATACATTTTTGGATGCAGTCACACAGAGAAGACTGCACAGATCCAATATACTCGTGCGTTTTCTCAACTGTTTACGTTAACTTAAGACATAAATAGCTCTGTTTACTTGCAAATACATGGTCACTTTGACACTTATGTGCAATGAGTCTCATTTTGACATTGTGTTTATACTTTGTTGGTTATAATGAAAGTTAAGCGGATTCTGGTTAACTTAAACGCATCTGATTGGCTATTGCTTTCACGCACTCAACAGATATGCCTGTGATTGGTTAGAAAGCTCGACGCTGCAAAAACATGTAAATAGAAAACTTTTATTTGCTCTTCACAGAGCGCTTATGCAAACACTCATGGTTTTAAAGCGCAGGTCTGTGAGGCGTGCTAGGGAATGACACTGCGATATGAGTCCAATAATTAGCACATCTAACTAATTTAATCTTCATATATTTTTTAACTTTTTACTGCTTTTAATTGCTATTAATTTGATTTTTAACACATTACACGTTTTTGGGTGAACTAACGCTTAGGTGTGGGCGATATGCCTGTAGAGATAAAACAGTTGGTTCAAAGTTTTTCTTGCCCTGCCAAAATATTTTAGTGGCCCTGCTACAAAAAAAGTTCTTGTTTTCGTTTTGACCCGTGTAACTTTGTATTCCAATTTCGATACCACAGCAAAAACTACTGGACTAACCAATATGAAGTTCAATTATTATTAAAGACTAGTAAACTGTCAATAATAAAATAAGAAAAAATAATCAAATTATAAGCAATATATATAAATGGAATAAATACAATAGAACAAAGATACTTATGAAATAAACAGTGTTTATAGTTTTTAAAGTTGGTCTAACAGTAGTATTAAGGTAGAGAATTTGAATAATCAAATCTAAATTAACTAGTGGTGGGGCGTTATCGGTGTTAACGTGAGACTCTTATATCGGGCGATATTCTCAAAGTTGGGTTGGGAGCTGGGTCTATACTACGCAAGCTATGATGACTTTCACCTTGATATTTTAGCGCAGATGTATACCTAGCCGAATTGCACTGTAGGGGCATTTAACACCAATATATTGAAATGTCTGTTTATCCATACTCCCTTAATAAAGGAGTCCGGACATTAGAAAAATATCAGTCTATGCATTTTATATTTAATACACAGGGAAATACACATCCGTAACGGACGTGACACAAAAAAAACTTTTAACTTTTAGGTGGCAAAAGTACAAAAAGTAATACTACCCACCGGATGAAGAAGGGTTGGCTCTCCACAGAACATAAAATATTCATTTTGTCTTATTTTTCGTGTACGCATTTAT